GACTCAGGAGACAGGACGTTGAAGGGTTTTGGACTCAGGAGACAGGACGTTGAAGGGTTTTGGACTCAGGAGACAGGACGTTGAAGGGTTTTGGACTCAGGAGACAGGACGTTGAAGGGTTTTGGACTCAGGAGACAGGACGTTGAAGGGTTTTTACAGTCACAGACACTTGGTCTTTCTGCTCGGCTGTTCAGCTGATAGAAATAGTTTGAATAGCTTTTAAATTGTTCTTCAGGAAACTACTGAATGGACAATTTGGTGTCAGTGAAGCTGCTCACAGAAGTGCTGATGGTGCACCGTGATTCTCCTTTTATTTAGATTAAGTACCCCTTAATACAAATGCCTCTCATGCCTCAGTGGAGATAAAGCTTCTAAAGGTGCAGTGTTTGATCCACGTGGCTTTAAACGAYCCTCAGGTAAACTCGGAGCACTGCTTCTTCAGCTGACCCACAAACACTCAGTAATGGACCGGTTTCTGTCAGTTTCTGTCCGTCTCCCCGTGGAAATAAATCCTGGGCTTTTTTCAAACCTGAGGGCACAACTGGATCCTGTGCATATTAAAACAACAAGAACAATAAAAGCTGCTCCACGGGGCTGAATCACTGATCGCCTGCTAACATTAGAGACATAACACAACTGCAGGCTGGCTGCGTTGCTCCAAATTACACGCACTAATATATTTCATTAGCACACCTCCCTCAGAGGGCTCTCTAATGGATGACAGCGTGGCAGAAAAGCTTGTCTGCCAGGGATGCTAATTTGTTCAAAGTTGTATTCTGTTCACTTATTACTGACTGCTGCTTCATGTGAGCKGCTCAGACTGCAGTGAGACCAGAAAGAAGCGCTCGGCCCGTGAACAACACCGCTTCTTTGACCTAAACTCCGTAGGTTTTATCAGTCAGGCTGCTGGAAACATTTAGACCTGAGGTCTGCAACCCTAACAGCCCGAGGAGCCATTTTTATTCTCTCTGATCCCAAATACTGATCTGCCAGACCKTTAGAGTTCAGACAGGTTATTAATTATCATATATTTATATTTATGTTATACGTTTTATGTTGCCTTGTGGCATTTTATTTGTTTGTCTGAATTATTTAAATGTTACACAGAAAGGAAAATAACAGGAGATTCTGTAAAAGAAAATTGTCCTTGTTGATAATCACGCTGACCCATTTTACTTTCTCCTCTGTTTGTAGAAAATCGGTAAAATAAGAAGCGCACGCAGAGATAAATAAAGCATTAAGCTGCTCCCTAATGTCTTCCAAAGAGTGAAGAGAAAAACTGAGCAGTTTATGGCTTATTTGAAGTCTAAATCTACTTAAACAGAGACAAAAAAAAATCAAGAATTGATTTTTTTTAATGTGCAACGGACAGAGTTTTAAGAAAACTAAGAGACTGACATAATGATGAATGATAAACATGATGAAATAAAGTTACGGCAATTTCAGGCTCAAAAATTTGCATTAATTTTTCTGCTGGTTTAATATTAAAAAACCAAAAAATAACAATAAAAACCCTCAAGGAATGAACAGAACTGCTTTATTTCTTTAGATAATTGGATAAAATGTTAGCATTCGTAATGTCATGCTCTTACTAATGACTAACTATACTCATTATTCATTTATTTATTAATGAATAATAACAAAAAACATATGAACTAAAACCATCATGCAATAAAAATAGGCACTAAAATAAAACTAGACAGAAAAATATGAATTAAAATTTTGCATCTGCCGTGACGGCATTAAGATCATCATGTTCTGGTTCTAAAAACCATGTTTTCAACATCAGACGGTCATGAAAGTCTGCAAGAAGAAACGTCAGAATCCGTCCAATCAAAACCGTGGTGAAACTGGAACTWCTTCACTACGTCGCACTAAAAACCTGAGCGTGAAAAATCACTGAGGGCTGATAAAAAATAATAATTCGAGGGAGTCTGAACATACAGCAGCCGAGTGATCACATCAGCCGGCAGGCACAGACTGTTTTTATC